ACGCGAGACGTGTTTAGCATTGCCGATGTAGTCTGCCGAACAGATAAGTTAGTAGTTAGTGATCAATTGGTAGAAAGCACGTGTCCTCTAGTAGATATTTTAGAAAATACGCTGGTTTAGTCGGAGAGCACTGAAAAAATGAAAAACTAAAAAAAATTTCATGATTTCAGTGCATTCTAATTAACACGCCACTGAGATAAATGCCTTGGACCTTTTAATTAAAACATTTAGCATTTAACGCAAATAGGGTTGTTAATGTCGAGATTTTTAACCGAAATTGCCAGACTGATTCATGCGGTCTCTTCTTTAAAGATATAATTTAAACTTCTATAAAAATTTTTGTTACAAATCTAAAATGTAGTTAAATTCTTTCAATAATTTTTGCAGTAAAGCGAACGATGGATTTTATTTGGACATGGTTCTGTTGTTGTGTGCTTTCTCCTGATTTAATTTTTCTTTCCTTTTTCTCTGGTATATGTAATGATGAACTGAATTTCGCACGTGTCTTGATTGGTTCTCATGATCTATTGGAAGACTGATTACATGATATTATACAAATAGATCCCATGTTGCCGAGGGTACAGTAATAGATCACAAAAGACGTTGAAGTGTGGTAAGTATATCAGTGACACACTCGGCTTCGCCTTGTGTGCTAATTTGTTTTATTCTTGCCCCATTTTGACGTCATCTGTAATGTGTAATCTATTACTGAACAGGGCAATTATCAACTGAGTTGCTAACGTAAATTGGCCGGGCGTGCGCATAAGGGTTCTAAAGGGAGAGACCAAATTCTGCCATATCTACCTACACCAAATCTTATACCCCACCTCGTGGGTTGTTAACAAGGTCGATGACAGAGAGCTCTTTTTTCACATTCGAATCGCCCCTGAAACGATCAAATAGCGTCCGAAATAGGTGGGAGTGAGGGTGCCATGCCATCTTGGCCAAAGTTACTTCAAACAGCACTCGGATAGGACGTCAAAATGACGGTCAAGTTCTAACATATTCCAGTTTTAATATACATTAAAAAATATGCACGCAATAAATGGTCACAAATGGTCCCGGTTCCCAAAACACGAGAAAGATTGGGGAAAAGAGTAAAATTTTACCGAGGGGGTGGTAGACAGGCTAAGATCAAACATGGCGGCTCGATCCGAAATCTGTCAATAGTTCTTTTAAGTTATTAACCAGCACCTCCTAAGGAGATTAGATGGCAAATACTTCAGCGATATAATGACGAAAATGCGCAGCAACGTTATAAGAATATTGATTGTTATTTCGCTCGCTGCTATAACACACGTTGTGGCCGAGGTATGTGAAATGTTAGACCAGTGTTCGTGCAGGAAGGAAAATGGGAAGATCATTAGTTTATGGGACATCGATGGAGGTTCCAAGGAACCAGCGTAAGTAATATAAGTCCTTCATTAATATCAGATATTTTTTGAAAAATGATTGATAGAAAATTACAGAGGTAAAGAAGTCGTAAATAACCATAAATGTCTCTCGCACTGCACGTTGTCAAGTGAACGTTGAATGTCAAGGTTCGCCCGATTATAAAATATTTTAAGGTCAGAATGAAATCGAATTGGTGATTAGGAAAGCAAATTTTTGAATTTATCATGGTGGAAAGCAGAGAGAAAAAGCTTCGCTCACTAGTAAACATATAAGCAAAACGCTTAGGTCACGCACATTCTAGGTTAATGCGCTATCGTTTGTCACGCAATCCTTTTGGATGACTGTTGTCACGCTTGTCCTCCTTTCTTTCTCATACAGTAAATCACTCCCACGGCTGGATGTGTCTTTTTTGTTATTTGTGAATGTACAGAGCTTCATAAGAGTCTTTGGTAAATTCATGGAATTTTGGGAACTAAAAAATAAAATGACGTGTAGGAAGGAGGGAAGGGGTTACATCCTAATCAGTTAAATTATGACGCAGATGTGCTGTAATCCCTAAACTATGATTAGATCGAGTGCTTTTAGTCAATTTAGTCGAGTATCTATATTTCCAATAAATGAAGGTGGTCACCCAATTATTTGCTTGAAACTATCTTCAATCCTGGTTATAATTGTTGAAAAATTTCTCCTTCCTCTTTCAAAGACGATTAAAGAAAAATTTGACCGCCCAGAGAAAGCTCGTCATTTAGAGAGGAGCCGGGTGACTAAGCAAGGTGACTAAGCAAGGTGACTAAGCAAGGTGCTCATTTTTTCTCCTTTTCAGCTTCAAAGGCCTTGTAGTTCTATACCCTCCGGGTGTAGTATACAAATTTGATTGGAATCCATGTACGAAGTTTAGTGCAGGAGCTGGATGCTCAAATGTGTTTGTGAGTACATTTGAGAATA